CACTAACAACCCTTCTATCATTAATCGTCACATGACGATAATATGATATGAAGAAATGGAAGATAAAGTGTATCTTCATCTACACAATCTTCTCTTCTATCATTATTTTTCGTTACAGTATCGGTCTAAAAATTTGCGATGCTGACAAAGATATTTGTTTGGGACATGGCTTATATATTACACCAATTGTTCCTAGTTCTATTTTGAAGTGTATTTGTTATCCATGTTATTATGGTGACACTTGTGAAAATGAAATATTTTCAACAAATCTCTGGTTCTTAGGTCAGCCATCGCGAACAACAGAAATGATTTCTGCGCAAAAATATTTACTGCTTATTTTCTGTATTATTCGAATAATCAATTGTCTTCTTTGTTTACAAACATATGTCTCTAGCCATAAAATACGTATTACTAATATTGGTGTCTATCTAATTTTGAATTCAATTATTGTACTTTTTATTTCACTTGAAGAATTTATTGCTGCGATTCTTCTCTGGTTCATAAAACAATTGCCAGAAAGTTATTTGCCGATTGAATGCTTAATTAATCAGAAATTTGTACTAGTATCGTTAAGTTACATTTGGGGTTGGAGTGTATTTTTTATAGCATTGGAACGTATGTTAGTTGAATGTTTTGATCATAGTCTGTATACTTCACGAAAACGGTCAATCATAATCTCAGCATTAACTGTTATTATTTGCCCATTAACAACGATACCTGGAATTTTTACCTTAAAAAGCCTTCCAGTAGACAAACTTGATTCTCAAACTAATAAACTTCTAATAGCTTTCAATTGTGTTAATTATACACCGCTTGGCTATACCATCTACAAAGTCATTGCAAGTGTACATACATATGTTACACTTGTCTCTTATATAATACTTTGTGTTGGTGTTTTTGCTCATCTGGTAAGACATCGCAAACGCATCGCTCCGAACTACACAACTCAACAGAATATTCGTCTCATTCTACGCAACCATCGTGACTTTTTTATACCACTTATTGTGGTGATATTTTGTTCAATTCCAATGATAGTTATAACTGAAACACTTACCTGTTCTAAAGCGTCAAAACTTGTGTCATTACCCTATCTGATTTTAATATTTGGATTTATATTTGGTATTTTACCAACTTCATTTTCATTTTTCTTCTATATTTATCCGGCTAATATTTACATGGTAGCCTTTTGGAATAATTCACCTGTGGGAATATGTCTAAGCAGACTGAAGCAGAAAATGATTTCAAATCAGTCAAACATTTAGACAGCTTATTAATGCGAGCTGGACTATCATAAGAAACTCAATGAGAAGCAATTAGTCGTGGATATGAAGTTGAAGAGGACAGTATTTAATAAATCTTTTTTTTAATAAAATTATACCTGAGTCGGGTGTGGGTGTGCGAAAGTGAGTAGATTGGACAATGATATACTAATTACCGATACCTATTCATACCTTTTTTGTCGCCGTTCTCTACTTATTTATTATACACTTTTTTCAACCTGTATCACTACTGAAGTATATAGAAACGAATACATTTTCACGTTCAGTGAATGGCATTCGAAACGAACAAAGTTAGAAGACTATTAAAAGATTACTAAAAATCAGCCATTAAGAATCGATTTTGAACGAAAAAGAAAATCCATATTGAATGGAATCGATTAAAATTTGACATAAGTAACTAAGAATAAAATTATTCCTTTTTCTTCCCAGATCATCAATGTTTCTTTTTCCGAAATCACGTTCTTAGTATCTAGCCTTGAAGACATTTCGATAATTAGCTAGAAAAACAAAAGAGATGACTTGATCGATTATTTCATTCGAAGGAAAACAAGTAAACGATTGTAGGAGAGAATGGCTCAGAGAAGATTATTATTAAAATTTTCTCAAATATATCAACAAGTTACAGAAGGGTGCGGGTGTGGTTGTGGGTGTGGTTGGGTGTGTGGGCGTGGATGTGAGTATTTGTGTGAGGAAAAGAATAATTCCGACATCCACACCCACACCCACAGCCACCCACACCCCACACCCCACACCCACACCCCACCCTGCAACAAATTATGCATTTAAAATACAAATAGCTTGTGACTTTAATCATCGAATAGTGCATGTTTCCGAATGTTATCATTTAAGTG